GTACATCGGCCAACTTGAAAAACGCACTCGTGAACACCATCCAGCCTAGCTAGCAAAAGGAGAACGAAAAAGGCTATATAGTTCAGTGACAGAACATTCAGTCAATTCAGGACATTCAACGCCATTAGAAAAATCCTTCAAAATAATATACAAGATTCAATCAAACCTATCGAAGGGAATGAAATTAAGACATCTGGGCATAGCCGAAGCACTAGCCATCCCAAAGCTCAAATCCACGTTATGTATCAAAAAGAAATAATTTCAACCCTTGTCCCTGCTTTTGCCATCATAAACAGGTAATTCTTCTAATAGTGACTATCCAACTTCCACGGTGTGGGCAGCCGGGAAGTAACAATCGCCCTCACAATCCAAAACGCACACAAAACCTCTCTAATCCTCACTTATCTTTGTCTTCATCTTCATCTCTATTACCTTACCTTCCCCCAGTGATGCAACTCCTCTACTTGATGGCTCCTCACTCCCTCTTCACTCTGTGTCCACTAAAAACGACGAAAGCCAAAAAACCACCACGGATAGTCTCCTAAAGCCACGCCACCAATTTCATATAGGAGCATTTAATGTTAGGACACTTTGCCAAATAGGACAACAAGCATCACTAGCTAAGACCCTGGCATCTCGAGCCATTGATGTATGTTGTGTTTCAGAAACACGCATACAAGACCCAAGTGTGGTTATTCACCTAACCCCACCTGGCCAACAGGATGAATCTTCAAAATTCACCTTGAGGGTGTCAGGAGATGCCACAGCTAGTTCACGGGGATTAGCTGGCGTAGGGATAGCTCTGAGTACTAGGGCAGAAAAGACATTGCTTGACTGGATCCCGGTAGATAGCCGAATGTGTGCTGTCCGTCTGAACGGATCAGTAAGAAGGAGAAAGGACTGCACTACTCGCCGATGCCTTTTCGTAATCTCCGCCTACGCCCCCACTGACTGCAGTTCGGATGAAACGAAGGATGAGTTCTACCAAAAGCTGTCTAGTTTGGTGAGAAAGGCTAAACGCTCAGATATAGTCGTTCTAGCTGGTGACTTCAACGCTCAAGTAGGGAAATTGTGTCAATCTGAGAAGGATGTCGGTGGCACCTATGGAGTTCCGTGCCAGCGAACCGACAACGGTGACCGTCTCCTACAGTTCTGTTCAGATAATCATTTGTTTCTTGTAAGCACTAACTTTAAACACAAGGAGAGACACTGTTTAACCTGGCGACCCCCATCATCAAACCAACGCTGGACACAAATAGACCACATAGCAATAAGCTATCGTTGGCGTGGGTCGGTAGGAGATTGTCGCTCCTTCTGGAACACGTGTGTAGATACCGATCACGCACTGGTCCGGGCTCGTGTGTGCTTACGACTGAACGGACGTAGGAAACAGCTGGCGGTAAAACCATCACGCCCCCAGCTCGATCAGGAAACTAAATCCCTATTTGAGGAAGAACTAGCTAAACGCATATCTGAATCCGACAGCTGTGCTCACCCTGGAGAAGCCTGGAAGAATATTCAGTCAGCTATAGATACAGCTGTAAAAGCTGTGAATAAGACAAATCCAAAGGTGAGTAAAAACCACTGGATTTCGACTGCCTCATCCGAACTGATAGATGCTAGAAGACTTATTCCGGCGAGCTCCGAATTCAATGAGGAGCGAAAGCTGCACAAAAGGAAACTTACTAAAAGTCTCCGCAAGGACCGTGAACAGTGGTGGGTGACAAAGGCGAAAGAGATGGAAAAAGCATTGGCGATAGGCAACACTAGGCAACTCTTTAGACTCATCACAGAATCGGGCGGGAGAAGGCAATTCATAAGTGAGACTATTTCTGAGAAAAATGGCTCCTTAATTAGCTCTCAGGATAGACGCCTTGAACGCTGGAAAGAACACTTTGAGGAACAATTTAACTTGCCTACAGCCACACTGAACCTCCCCGCCATCCACCACGTACCCGAATGGGATATAGACACTGGTCCGCCGTCTGTAGGTGAGGTTACAAAAGCTATCAGTAATTTGAAACGAGGCAAAGCGGCAGGACCCGACGGAATTATTCCGGAGGTGTTTAAATATGGGGGTGACATACTAGTTTGTAGATTAACTGAGGTACTAGGCAAAGTCTGGGAATCAGAGACAGTACCATCAGACTGGGGTAAGTCACTTATTATACCGATATTCAAGAAGGGAAACAAGTCCTCGTGTGATAATCATAGGGGGATCAGCCTAACGAACATAGTCTCTAAAATCCTAGGCTCAGTAATCATGCATAGACTAAGCAGAACTCGGGAGGAACAGACAAGGGAAAATCAAGCAGGCTTTAGACCAGGTAGAGGGTGCATAGATCATATCTTCACTCTTCGACAGATTCTAGAACATAGACACACTTTTCGGCGTCCAACAATTGTCATATTTCTTGACTTGAAGGCGGCCTTCGACTCCGTGGACCGAAAGGTACTATGGCAATGTCTGACTGTGAAGGGAGTGCCAAGAAAGTACATTGCACTAATCAAGGCACTCTATTCAAACTCACGTAGTCGTGTAAGGGCTTATGGGGAATTGTCATCTGAATTGGTAACAACCAGTGGTGTCCGACAGGGATGTCCACTTTCCCCATTTCTGTTTAACTTCATCATAGATATGCTAATGGAAGTATCCTTAACTGAACGTAGTGACTTAGGAATCGACTTGTTACCAGGGAATAATCTAATGGACTTAGAATATGCAGATGACATAGTCCTGTTAGGGGAGGATGCTGACAAAATGCAGAGTCTTCTGAACACCTTGAGCAGCAATCTTCGTATGTTTGGCATGCGATTCGCCCCTGCAAAATGTAAGATGCTGCTACAGGACTGGACGACGTCAACCCCTAACTTAGTGATAGGGAGTGAAGTGATAGAACATGTTGACCACTTCACCTACTTGGGAAGTTGTATTAGCACCAACGGACTGATTGGCGATGAAATCTCAGCACGGATCCGAAAAGCTCGAGCTGCTTTCGCTGACTTACACCATCTCTGGCGTAGGCGTGACATCCGGTTATCAACCAAGGGACGTGTGTACTGCTCATCAGTTCGCTCCGTCCTTCTCTATGGCTCTGAAACATGGCCAATACGCGTTGAAGACATGAAAAGGTTGACTGCTTTCGATCATAGATGTCTGCGATCTCTGTCTCACGTTAGGTGGTTTCACAAGATAAGTAATGTTGACGTTAGGCGTAGAGTGTTGGGCAAAGAGGGAAAATCAATCGACGAGGTTATAAAGTTACATAGACTAAGATGGCTAGGTCACGTGGTGCGCATGCCTAACCACCGCCTCCCCCGACGGGCATTGTTAGCTGATATAGGTTCAGGTTGGAAAAGAGCCAGTGGTGGCCAAACAAAAACATGGCATCAATCCATGAAATCCTTGACAGTTAAACTGAGTCAGGTAGGGAGATGCAGACTCCCGGGTTGGGGCCCTCGGGACTCTAGGAATCAATGGCTGGAGACAATAGGTGACATGGCTCAAAATCGTTGTCAATGGCGCAGATGTATTCAATCTCTGTAATCTTTCATATTCCTTTCTACCATTACCCATTCTGTTTCACTCTTATATTTGTCAAACTCTATTAATTCTCTTCACTCATCTTCTTGTCTACCTCTGTGCTATTTGGAACGTGGCAACTCGAACTGCTGCACTTCGGTGCCAAGTTCTATGTTAAATCCAGACAGACAGACAGTGACTATCCCATCGCCTTACTTATCCAAACTTCCTGTTTATCCCTTTATTCTTAACCCCTATTTACACTGCCATATTTTCATATCCGAACTTCCTGTCTGTTTTGTGATTTTATTATTTCAACATATTGAATCCCTGATTGCATAAACAATTAATCGTCACATTAGTTATGATCTCATTAGATTTCTTATCGAAACATTCTCTCTCTATTTTTGTTATTTCTACATTTCTAACCCCTAATTGAACAATATATCAATCATCTCAGTAATTGTGATGCTACTTTGTTTGAGTTTTTATTTCATCCATCCCCCTCCCCTGTTTATTATGGCATTTTAATTCCTATTTAATTGAATTTGAGATTTTCCTATCGATTGATTGAACCGAAGTGCTCGGTCTCAGGTTGACATGTCGGCTTCTTGTGCAGATGCTTCGACGGTGTCTGGGCATTTAGTTAGTATTTATTTGATGGCCCAACTGGTCTAGTGGATAACGCTTTGGCGTTTGAAACTATGGGCACTGGGTTCGAGCCTCGGTGGTAGGAACATCATCATCCACTGACTGGGAAATGCAGATACATCCAGCTGACGAGTCCCAAATAGGACGAAATGCGCATTATCCTGGATTCCACTGCTAGTCACAATTCACCAATTATTCTGGAACTTTCCCATCCATCCATCTATTATAAATACACGAATGTACAGCCCCCTAGTTAACGATGACTTCGTCGAAAAGGAAGTTTTCTTCCTCGCTGCAACTGTCCTTTTATTAATTCCCTATGATCAAATGTTTGTGTATTCCGTGATTAGAATCACAATAAAATAAAGGTGGTGAGAATAATTTATGTGTTTTATTTTAATTCCCTTCATCTTTTTCCGCTTCACTTATAAAAGCGTCATTCTCTCAGTTTGTTTGCATACTCACCATATTCATACCTGTATTCGTTGAAAACTTTTTTCTAATCCTGTGCAATTCTGTTTCTATTCCCCATTGTAATCTATACTGACACCTTAGAACTTTTGTACCAAGTTGAAAATCATTATTATTATCATCATATCTAAGGAGAGAAACAGCTGCCCAGCGTTTAGATCGCTTCGATCTAGCTGGCTGGTTGGCTGGCCAGAGAACATTACTGGTTCATGTGAATGGTATATATATATATATATATATACAACTACTCATTACAGCCAAATAAGTGGTATGTACAAACCACGTCGAAATGATCTTCTAATCTAATTCTTTCTCTCTTCCTTTTTTGATTTATTAATTTCCTTATGCTAAACAGGATTAGCATGGAGTTGTCGTTATTGGTTTGAAGAACAAGGTATCTATAAAGAAGTATGCTATTGTCAAGATAGAGACGGTTGTAATTCAGCAATAAGACAAATGAATTTCTCTTATAAATTAATTTTAGTCTTTATACAATTATTAACTTTTATTTTCATTTTTATATATTAGAAAATATTGATGATGATGATAATAATCCTTCTTCCTAGGTGTATAATTTCATATCAATTTAAGCGCGAAATTCTAATGCGCGCGGAATTTGTTTTACGAATAATCTTGAACACTAGTTTGAAATTTTAATATTCATTGATTTCTATGTTATCCTGAGATATATATGTTGTATTTGGCTAGCTGGAATGTACACGCGGGGCTACACAGTTATGCGAATGTACTGCTATAACAGGGAAACATATGTAAACATAGAGCATTTGTTGTGATATAATAACCATCGTTTTTATGTATGGGTGTATATACTTATAAATATTTGTAATTTTATACTATACAGGATGTCTTCAATTTTTAATTAGTTTTGATTTCAATTTGGCGAAGATATTCATTCAAACATCTATAAAAAAAACAGAAAATAATTGGGCAAAGAATATCCTTTTCGATAATTTCTTCTTCTGGCTCTACAATTATATACGTATATGTTTATATACATAGCATATTCGAGAATAGTAGTCATTATCAATATTATTGTTTTTAGAATAATATCGATTTGTTAAGTAAGATCACAATGGAATCACCACAGTTCATTAAAGATGCTTAAATTATGATAATAACGATAAGGATATAGTGGCAACTAGAATATCAAATAAAATTAAGGAAATTTTCACTGAAAAATTGAGGATCATTCGAACCTAGATGGCCACTGTGGTAAGGACAGTGTCTATACTAACTTCTTTTGCTCACACAAATTAGGCTTCTTAATGTGGATCCCAACAACCAGCCTCAGCAATATTTAGTAGACGAACTCTTAAGGCGAAGTAAAGATTTGTTTGTATGCGGTAAATGACTTTGAAAGCTTCCTCGTTGACATCACTCTTGTGTTGTGTTGTATCCACAAGATGAGATAGATAGAATAGCGCTATGTGAATGGATTTTATTTGTCCTTTACTTAACCAACTACGCAGGTTGATTGATGTTCAGAAGTCCAACGATAAACAGGCCTAATTGTACGGCCTTAGCAGCTAACGGGCTCCATAGGAGCAGTTAAATTGGTAGATACACACATATGGAATAGGCGAAATAGGGCAGTTTATCTTTTACTCCCGAACGCAAAACAGGGGTGGTTTTGAAGATAGCGTAATTCAGCAGCAGGGAATGCTCTGTTTACCGCTGTATTCCTTGGGCGTTGAATTGGTACCCGGTTAATGTTATCCCCGAGAAATGAATTTGTAAGAATAAGACGTTTTTACGTACTGTTGCTACCTTGGTCTGCTTTGATTTTAGATTCATATTCTTCCTTATCAATAAACTATTCTGGATAACTGTTTTCCTTCAGCAACCGTTTAATATTATAAAGTTCCTCATCAAGAATTTCATCCGAGCAGATTGCTCTCGCTCTGTGAACCAAGCGCTTTATCAGATTGCGTTTGTATTTCAAGGGCACGAAGCTGAAAAAATGACTAGGCTGCCAGTCAATTGATGTAGGTTTTCTATACATACTTCTGCTCATTGTGCCATCTTCTTTACTGGTCAATGAGAACATGGGGCAAAATGAGATGAAGTAATTTAATTTAATGTGTGTGTTTATATATATAGTCAACAGAAAATACAGGTTTCGAGAGTGAGTGTAATCAGGGTGTGAGACAATATGAAAATAAACCAACGAATGGAGCCATCTAGACACAAGTTCAAGGTTGAAAATAACAACAATGAGAATGATTTAATTGGTTGATGGTGACTAGCAGTGGAATCCAGGATAATGCGCATTTCGTCCTATTTGGGACTCGTCAGCTGGATGTACGTGCATTTCCCAGTCAGTGGATGATGATGTTCCCACCACCGAGGCTCGAACCCAGTGCCCATAGTTTCAAACGCCAAAGCAATATCCACTAGACCACTTGAGCCACGATAGCCACCTCTTTTGCAACGGGTCGTATTAATTATTAAATTGAATTTTTTTTGATTTTCCCGTCGATTAATTAGACCGAAGTGCTCGGTTTCAGTTTGACATGTCGAAGCATCTGCACAAGAAGCCGACATGTCGGCCACATTCGTTGGTTTATTTTCATATTGTCTCACACACTCTGATTACACTCACTCTCGAAACCTGTATTTTCTGTTGACTATATTCATATATATATATATACACATACATCATTAAATTAAATTACTTCATCTCATTTTGCCCCATGTTCTCATCGACCATGCATATTAAAAAAAACTATATGACTATTGTTTCATCCCATCTTATTTATACTTGTTCCACAATACACTTTCTGATATGATTCTAATTTGCCTTAACTGGCTGTCTGGCTATTGTATGCTTAAATTAATGGATTTATAATTGTAGAGCCTGAAGAAGAGGAATTTATTGAAACCATAATTGTTCGCTCTAAATATTTTGTTCATATGAATATATTTTAATATTTAAGTGGTAGTAGAGAAGACATACTATAAAATTGACGCATCCAAAATGTCAGCATTACAATGTTTTTAGTTTAAGTTTTCATCATTAATTTATACGCTTTCAAAGTAGAAAAGAGGTGGGTAAGACAGATAAAATTAACAGTGTTAGCTTGTTGGTTGACATAGCAACTCAAAAAAAAACAAGAGCGGTTACCGTTTATAAGATTGAGATTTGTTCAGTGAGTTGAGATCACTGAAATAGAAATTTCAATAATCTTTGCAAACCGATGTATAAAACAAGTTTGGGTCACATTTAAATTTGCTGAAGCCCTAATCATAAAAGGCTGAAATGTATGTCTGATGTGTTCTAAAATTATTTGTCATTCCTTTGATCCTGTCTTGGTTCAATTCACTTAAAAATACCCTCACCCTTGTTTTCTTACCCCATATTCTTAAGTTGTCTCCGTATTACTCATCCGTGACCTTAACCTGTAGACAATTTGACCTATAGTATAATCCTTTGGGCGTATGTGAACAGAATGTCTGAAATTTCACATGAACTGTGATCAAGATTTGGCCAAATTGTTCCAAAATAATTGGGCACCGAGTGAGAAATAGACATGTAAAAATTATAAATATATTACTTTGAGAAAGCTATTAGCACTAAATAGCGAAACGTCAGTAAAAACAATATCGTTTTGTTTTTCATTCATTGGGAAATACAAAAACCTTTATTATAATGAATGTAAAAATTATATTTGTATAGTCTTAGTGGAATTGAAATAAGTAATTCCAACGTTTTTCCGGCGAACTGGTTCGAACTTCTTAAGGGAAAATAGTCGAAATTATTTTGGACCAGTTTGCGGAACGAAACGTTGGAATTACTTATTTCAACTCCACTGAGATTTTACAAATATAATTTTTACATGTCCGAAATTTGTTGCGCTAAAACATTACACAGGTTTCAGATAAATGACGAGTTCTTATTGTTTTGTCGAAGTTTCTCGAAAATATAAACTGAATTTATTGCCGTGTAGGATATATTGACCACTCACCCACCGCAGCCAACCATCTTCTTGATTATACAAATCTCCACTCAACTATTATTTCTCCCACAGAAACACTTGAGAAACCTCCAAAGAGATACTACAGCCCTTGTGTAAGTTGTTATGTCATACACTACGTTTACTTGAACGGAAGAGGTTCAGTAAACAAGCGATCAGATTAGATGATCGAGAGATGACACAAAGTTTTTATTAAATGTCCGTGATGTACGTCACAATTTCCACAGATGCTAGTGATGACAACGACACATGTAACGTTCGAAAACAAAAATACACAGTTTTAGAGAGCACGGAAGCCGTGCTGGGAAACTTGTGGAAAATAAGTGTTCTTCGGTAGAATAGGTAATTACAGCAATCGGCAGAACTATACCAGTGTTGAAAGCAATAAAAACCTCCCCCCACCCTACCTCAACGTGAAGTTATCCCGACGGATATGACGTCCACAGCAGTATATACCTCTACTATCTGACAGTTAACAGGGAAAGAAAGTATGTTAATTGAGCAACTTCTGAGACTGAATTATTAAGCTGAACAACAACCGAGTAAAAGCATATATGGAGTGAATACCTTGAAGCCACGTCTCTAACAAAATATTTTTATTTGTAAACTTATACTTATATATTTACTAGAGTTAAGCCTGATGAGATCTAATTGAAAACCATATTTTTCGCTTAAATGTGTTGTTCTGAAATATTTATCGTCAGTAATCTGATCATACCTCAGAAGCAGTTTGCCAGAGCGACAAGTGATGAACAAGGCAGTTAACAATGTTACTTAGATAGAAATCTATGCATTTCAACTAACTGCATATATAAAATGTTGGAAGACGAATTGACAATAATTCCAAAGGGTTCAACATCCATCATGAGTTGATCTAAGAATGTCACTAATCAACTCTATCTGTCTGTTTTCGACATAGAACTTTACACCGGTGTGCAGCCGTTCCAGTCGCGACTAAGACTTTGAATACCATATTAGTCAAGCTAATCCCTCTGTGATTATCACAGGAAGACTTGTCTCCCTTCTTGTACATAAGGATAATCAGTGACTTACACCGACCCGATGGGACTTCCTCCGATTCCTAGACGCTGCCTAGTAACTCAGTTAATACAGACAGTAAACTGTCTTCAGCGTACTTAAATACCTCTGGAGTCATCCCATCAGGTCCCGCTGCTTTGCCTAGTTTCAGATTGGTGACAGCTTTAGTAACCTCAGTTAAGGAAGGAGGACCTGTGTCTATATTCCATTCAGGGAGGTGTTGGATGTTCGGCAGATTGAGCGTGGCTGTAAGCCAATTAAACTGCTCCTCAAAGTGTTCTTTTCAGCGTTCCAGTCGTCTATCCTAGGAGCTAATTATAGTGCCATTTTTCTCCGAGATTGTTTCACTTATCATTTGCCTTTTTACCACCTGTTACCCTGATAAGTCTAAATAGTTGTCTGGTGTCACCAATCACTGACCAAACATGAAAGACAATATTGCAAAGTATATATTCCCGCCTGACTGCAGTGTCAATTAACAATGAAGAGTGTTCTCTTGCATTCGACAATCACTGCAGTATCACCATCACCAAGTATTGATTGCCTTATTTTCCTACATCAAGATTGACCGTAGAGTGGCATCAGTTAGAGAACCATTGAAAAACTAGCTAGGAGTACTGAAGAGATGTCTACTCCTAGTTTGGGACTCATCATCAGCATGTATCCATATCACGGGGTTCGAACCCCGGAACTTCCAATTACAAGACATACCCTAAGACCCAATTCAATGGCTCATGAATTCTAACACTTTCACTGACTCGTGATTCTGGCATGACTACTAACAATTTGTCCTCAATCACGACTCTCTCTCCCATATTGTTTAGCAGCTACAGCTAACTACCTTTCAAGAGATCGTCTGTGAGGATTTAAAGAGAGATCACTAACTGACAGAGATCAGTTAGAGAACAAATGAAAGATATAGCTGGGAAAACTGGACCTCATCGAGAATCATATCAATAACCTTTCAGGTTATAAGACGACGAACTATCAGGTCTTATCTCAGTGGCAAAATGGTCAACCGCCTTATCCCACAAAACCTACAAACCCTGATTCCAATCGCTGATTGGGGACACGGATCCCCGTCTTGCCGAAGAGTCGAAAACCGAAAGAAGCAAAACAAACACTCCAGTAACTATGGGTGTTTTTTCTCCAATGTTTCAAGCTATCTGATGACAGTTCCAGTGAATCAATCACTACACTGATGGTGTAGTTGGGCGCCACTTCTCAAACACACAGTTTGAATTGAATGCATCCAATATATACATACATATAACACAAGCAACAGTTCAAAACAGTCGCATGTATTTCAACTGAATAACTTTATCAACTAACAGACATTTTCTCTAGAAAAAATATACTTACATCCAGTTTCTATCACAATCAATAAAATAAAAACATTAGAAAAATAATAATAATAATATTACTAAAATACAAAATAAAGGAAAATCTGAGGGCGCCGAAAACAAAAACAGGAAGACGAATGAAAGACTGAAGGAAAAAAACATAAATAAAAATACAGCACAATTCACAAAGTGGAAGGGTAATAACACACACACACACACACATACAATCACAACCACGTTTGGAGTAGTTTTACTTATCACTGAAAAAATCCCGACAATTTTTAAACAATGTGTGAGTTGTCACCAAGTCGAATGCGGATTTCTATTTGAACTTTCCTGTGCTCAACTCTACGTCTTTCAACTGTTTACAACAAATAGCATGACGTTTAATGCAGGTGTGATATGTATCCATATAATATGTGTGTTTTGTTTGACAGTCTGATATATTTTGCTATGTATATATGGATCGATATTCCATTATAATTAGCCAATCATGTTAAGACTGTCTATTGATTTCTTCACACAATTTTTTTGACATTCATATATATTTCGGTCTAACAATCTTGTGTGACATTTTGATTCTCCTTGTGTTTGGAAAATAGAAGTATCATCGCAAACCTAGTGGTCTTCTGATTTCCGTCTTTCTTGTGTCAGGACTAGTAAATTCTCCACCAGTACATAACAATAATTTGGCGACGGGGAAAACTATGGATCCTTCTAAATTGGAATTACTACTTGAACGACAAATGAAATTAATGGAAATGTTCGTCAACCAACAGACTGGTCCAACTTCACCTTCAAGCAATCCGAACCATACCATGATACCATCTGTCGACGGAATTGTGAATAGTATTTCACAGTCCAATTATAATCCAGATGCGAATGTCACTTTTGACACATGGTATCAACGATATGAGGATTTATTCACTGTTGATCTCGCCTCACAAGACGATGCTTGGAAGGTGCGAGTGTTATTACGTAAATTGGGTCCCGCAGAATATGAGAGGTACTGCAACCTAATTTTACTCCAAAAACCACGTGACAAGTGTTTCGATGATACAATAAAGCTGCTGCGTGAACATTTTGGAGACCACTCCTCATTATTCAGCATACGTTATCGTTGCCTCAAGCTGACAATGAATGAAAACGATGATTTTCTTACTCACGTTGGCACAGTCAACCGAGAATGTGAGAGATTTCGACTCAGGTCCTTAACAGATGATCAATTCAAAGCCTTGATTCTCATATGCAGTCTTCAATCTCCTCGTTTCACAGATATCCGAACTCGACTGCTCAATCAGCTAGAACAAAATCCCAAGTTAACATTACATGACATAGCTGATGAATATCAACGGCTGATTAATCTGCAGAAAGACACACACCTGGTCGAATCAACAACTTCGAGAAGCTCTGATATTCATGCATTACGAAAGAGCAAAAATCTCTCATCATCCACTCCTGACCCACCTTCTTCTAATGTTCCGCGGAAATCTACACATACTCGTCCAACTTCACAAAATACTGCAAAGAAGACCCCACCATCACCATGCTGGCATTGTGGCGCGTGGCACTTTGTAAAGTCTTGTCCGTACAAAAATCATCGTTGCAGCAAGTGCAAAGTCATCGGTCATAAAAATGGTTTTTGTCAGCCACGCAAACCCAGATATCATAATCCAGCGAAAGCTCCACAAACTGTTGGTCCTAAATCTCCAAGGAGATCATTGAGTCTACTCGCAACAAGTCAAGTCACAACACCAGGTATGCGAAAATATCTTGATCTCCAGATGAATGGTCATGATACACGTCTGCAGCTAGATACCGCCTCTGATATTACTGTTATATCAGAGAAACTTTGGAATAATATTGGCAGACCACCTATCACAAATACTTCTTAGACTCTTGTCAGCGCCTGTGGTCGGCGGCTCAAACTAATTGGTGAACTCCAATGTTCTGTTTCATTCCGTAACATTAAATTCAGAGGAATCTGCTACGTCATCAAGAGTGATTTAAATCTTTTGGGACTTGATTGGTTCGATCGTTTGCATCTGGCTGATGTCCCACTAAATTCGCTATGCAATGCAGTCAAGAAGCATAAAATGTCAGACAATTCCAGACGAAGCCGCAAAACCAACAGGCAGACGAAGCGACAGACGTCAACAACAAACTCAACGGTTCCAGATAAACCCCCAAGAAAACACCCTACTAATCATCAATCTTCTCAAAAGGGGAGGTGATATGTATCCATATAATATGTGTGTTTTGTTTGACAGTCTGATATATTTTGTTATGAATATATGGATCGATACTCCATTATAATTAGCCAATCATGTTAAGACTGTCTATGAATTTGTTCATTTTGAATATTCGCTCACACACTTGTTCGGACATCCATATTTTTTCTCTCACACTCTTGTGTAACATTTTGATTCCCCTTGTGTTTGGAAAATAGAAGTATCATCGCAAACCTAGTGGTCTTCTGATTTCCGTCTTTCTTGCGTCAGGACTAGTAAATTCTCGACCACTACATAACAAGTGGATGCAGCACATGATGAGGGTAGTTCGGGCAAATCACAGCATAGCTTTGTTGTTAGGCAGTGAAACCACATTACATTAGTTTTCGGTGAAAACTTTCTCCAAATATTTCTATGGGGGAGCAGGAGAAGGAAGATAATAACAAAATCATAATAAGCGGGTGAAAAACAACAAAAGTAATAATTAGGAATCCTAGTGCATTAAAACAAACGGATAGAATAGTCTGTATGATTATTACTTAATGTGCATTAACAAGACTGTAGGAAATTTTAGAATTACATCGTTTAACAGGATATTGAACATTGTCAGCACCATACATCCCCACACGCCATGGTTTGAACCCCGAAGCTTGCAATTACAAGATATGCTCCTCTTAGACCATTCATTCAAATACTAGGACCCAATTCAATGGCATAGATCACAGAGCTGAGAAAACTGCTTGCGGTTATCAACACAGCCTGTTTGAAGTTGACTCTCAAGAACTCACCAGCTGGCATAGACTGTTGCAGGGTCAACCACCAACCCGCTTCCCCAGAATCAGCGCCAACACAATTGATAGCTTGTTGGTCATCTGAAAGAAATACCATCTTACTGCTTTTAAAACACCTAGTAGGAACCCACACTGCGACCTTCGAACCCAGGAAGGATCTGTCGGTTACAAAGTGAGTTTATAGACCATCCTGCCGCTGAGACCTACCCAATCCAATCGCCCATGAATTCCAACACGCCTGCCAAACCGTGATACATATTATAGCGCAACAGCCAGTCAATGACATAGGTGAAGGTGACGAACTGATCTCTTATCTGACTTGGTGGACCCCGTCGGTTACGACTTCGCACTAAAACTCCAGGTAACTTTTTCCTGCACACAGAGTCAGTTGCTAATAAACATCAGACTGATTAATCAAGTGTTAGTGTATGCAAGAGGATTTGAGCGGTTACAAGTATAATCACAAGCAGCTAGCTGACATCATCAGTTAAAGAACCTTTTCAGGTAAAAGTCATCAATCATAGGTGATTGCATCGAGTCCCAGTGGCTGAAGGGTTTGACCTTTCAAGGTTCTTCAGTTAGATCTCAGTGGTAATAATGTATTGCTATGAGTCTAAAACTAGAATGAAACAACAACTGACTGGTCTTCCAACAGTTCTCTAACTGATATCAAATCGTGATCAAATCTGAAATCTGCATAAGAATCAAATCACATTCGGTTGGTGTGTGTGTGTGTGTGGAGGGGGTGTATATTGTTAAAAAGAGTAATAAGGGACAACAACTGTGGTCCATACTTGAAAACACAAAAAAGCAAATCATTTTATGTGTATACTTACCGATTATGTGATTTCATATGACGATATATATCGAATTGATAATCACCTCGGGATTGAAACAAAGTAGGATCACTACTTAAATCAACATAGACTAAACCATCATCTACAATGAAAGAGGAAAGACACATATCATACAACAAAAGTGACTTAAGGTGTGTGTGTATGTATGCAATAGATTGAATAAATTTCGATAAATAAATGTAGGAGCGTCTGATTGACTTGGTTTCAACATAGATCTCTGCATAGAAGTACAGCAGGTCAGCTTGCCACAACACTCCATGTAGTACACAAAAAAAAGACAAGGTGGATAGAAAAATTGATATTCAAAAGAGCCATAATAAGCAGAAATGCACGTGGGAAAAAGAATAGTGACACGGTAGAACATGATGGTTCAAGAGGATATGACAAATCAAAAGAAGTAGTGAATGCGTCTATATCAATATTCAGGTATATAATCACCGATTGTCTTCAGCCTTGATTGGTGTTCTTAGAATCTTGAGGACACCGATCCAGGACTGACTGATTTCAACACAGAGCTTTGCACTGATATAAAGCAGTTCGAGTCATCAAACTCCAAGTGGTAGATAAAGCAAGAGAAGTAAAGAGAAATGCAAAATACAGACAGTGAACAGAGATATGAGGCAAAAAGAAGAATAGTAATATCGAAGAACAATAAAATTTGATTGGATATGATAAATCCCAAGGAGTGGATGCATCTGTGCCAGCCATTGACAACGACGATTTTGAACCATATCAACAATTGCTTCATGCCTTCATTGGTTCATATGATCCCATGAACACCACTCAATCAGGTAATCTACACCTCCTCCCCCTATTGGATTGGCTAAGTCTTCATGGTTTCACTCCAGGTTATGATTTTACCATCTCTAATATGAGTCGGATAACATTACCTGTCGAGGAAGCCGATGGCTAGACAAGCGTAACACATAACTTAGTCATCTCGATAGATGTAGCACCTAGCAACCTCATCGATTTACTTACCAACCTAATTACCTAACACTCTAGGCACTAAATTTGATTTAACTTAACCCACCGTACCATCTAACAATAAGAGTTAAAAAGCAAACACCTGTGGTAAATCAAAGACAGTTAGCCTTTTCATCTCCTTTTACCTACAGCGATGAAGGATCACGGAGAAAACTGTTGAGCAATACACGTCCTTTGATCGACAAAATGTGTTCCAGGTAACTGACTTTTAACTTAACAATCTGGGGCTTTCTTTTGAAACTCAAACCAACACTATCATGTGTTGTGTTGCAGCTGCACACCAAACTTGTAGATAACATGTATCCTATTTTTTTTTTGATTTACAGCTTGATTCCACACTGTATTTTTGGTACAAGTATGGAATTTTCAGCATGGATATCGGTAGCCCAAATTTTGCAGGCCGACCATAGATATCAGGTGTGCGCCGGTGTGGGCTCGAACCCCGGACCATGTGCATGGTCGGCGAGAGTCCTAACCACTGTCCCACCGACGCACAGACAAAGTGTGGTGGTATTTTATTCTGATTATATCTCATGCTCCTCAACTCCCCCTCTCAACTATATCGGGATCTCTTACTACCGGTTGAGAGAGAGAGAGAGACAGAGAGAAATTACGGATTGTGCATCGGTGGATTCGAAAGTAGAACCCCCCTCTCTCCCAACACGAGAAAACGAGTGGGTCTGTAGTAAACGAGCAATCAGTCAATGATGCACTACTGTAACAGCAGTTGCTGGCTGAATCATGGCCTCTAGCTATTAAACTGTGAATCGCTTAGTCAAACCCCAGTATGAAGCAAATAAAAGACAAATTCAACGAAGAAAATTTCCTTTATCGACGAAATCATCTTCCGAGGCTAGCTGTGTGCAGTCGTATTTATATTAACCGAAATATATATAGTGATCTATTATTGAGTAATAGGGTCGGGGTGACATGATTGATATAATTAATCAAAAGTGGCTTTAGAAGTAAGAAAAAATAAATAAAAGTTGTAAATTACGTGGTACTCAACTATACAAAGTTAGAAATTTGATAAGATAAAAATTGTTATTGAATGAGAATAAAAGTGGTTGAGTATCAATTTAACAACAGGGGAACTGGAGCGACTCAGACAAGTCTTAGCGGAGAATGCATATCCTCCATGATTTATCGAGAAAACCATGAAGTTAGAGCAAAAGCCTGAGAGAACCCAGATGATTCCAAAGAAACTGTTATTCATGAGCGTTGAATTTAAAGTAGATACCGCAGCTAAGATCATGAAGAATAGCTTATGAAGATTACTGAGGGAAGCATTCTTCACGGATGAGCTATGGATCAATCAATTTCTACAGCCAACATATGATCAATGGATGCACGAATGATAAACTGGCGCTTTGGACGAGCCACTTCAGTGCGTGTTTATAAATTCACCTACTGCTCGTGTGGACCCAGTTATAATGCCCGAACAACGTGGCGGACACTTTCCAAACGCATCTCGCAACATTATCCCGTATGGTTAGGTAAAGGACAATGCAAGAAAATTCCTAGCTCAATTCTCGAGCATTTGGTAAACTCAAGCCACGTGCCTCCACCGGAGTAATCATTCAGGATCATATAACAACTGAGGACGAATGGTAAAAAGATTGCCAGGTTTTCCGATACATAAAGGCCGACTAGTGAACACAACCGCGAAATATGCATTCCGAACATTTTCACTCACAATTTTCACTTCGTAAACTGACAATCACCTAATTTTATTCCCATTTCATTGAAAATTATTTATTGAGTGACTTTCGGAAGACAATTTACCACTAGATAAGTTATGTCGTTTACTACATTAATCCACTGTCAGTTAGATCTTAATCACCTACTACTAAGCTATAAGTGATAATTATTTTGTGGGGACCCATATTTCAGTAGTAGGTGTAGTAATAAATATGATTTATGTGACAGAGGCTATGAACGGTTGTCACTATATGATAGGGAGGAGAGTATTTCGAAAGAAAGACTGGAGTCTAGCCATCATCCACCTAGTGGGGTTGTTGATCGTTCACGCGGTGCCACCATCAGTCAAGCTAAGTTTAGGGTTAATTATTATACATGTATATAAATGCCCGATTCCATTTGTATAATCTTAATTTCTGTTCTTTCTTCTCTATAATGAATAGCCTCCTTGTCCTTGTGTGAGACTTTCTCTTCTCCTGCAAGTTGGATTTTCCCTAGCAGTAGCAGAACAAGAAATGAATTTCGAGCGTAGAGACTTACATTGGGGAAACATTTTGATCAATGAAATTTGTGTGTCTGCTGTAAATAGGTCGACAATGTCTTCATCATCGTCAACGTCATTATCTCCTTCTTCTACCTCTTCCTCTTCTTCATCCCTCTTCTTGTCCTCTTCCCGCTCCCTCTCCTCATTGTCTACATCTTTAAAAGATTGTTGTTGTAAATATTGTTCTCACTTGGAGAATGTGGAAGTAGTGGACGAGGAATCTGATAAAGAAAATAAAAAAGGCGGAGATTCTCTTCATCGCCCTCTTTTTTATTTTCTTTATCAGATTCCTCGTCCACTACTTCCACATTCTCCAAGTGAGAACAATATTTACAACAACAATCTTTTAAAGATGTAGACAATGAGGAGAGGGAGCGGGAAGAGGACAAGAAGAGGGATGAAGAAGAGGAAGAGGTAGAAGAAGGAGATAATGACGTTGACGATGATGAAGACATTGTCGACCTATTTACAGCAGACACACAAATTTCATTGATCAAAATGTTTCCCCAATGTAAGTCTCTACGCTCGAAATTCAATTCTCGTTCTGCTACTGCTAGGGAAAGTTCAATGATCCAACTTGCAGGAGAAGAGAAAGTCTCACACAAGGACAAGGAGGCTATTCATTATAGAGAAGAAAGAACAGAAATTAAGATTATACAAATGGAATCGGGCATTTATATACATGTATAATAATTAACCCTAAACTTAGCTTGACTGATGGTGGCACCGCGTGAACGATCAACAACCCCACTAGGTGGATGATGGCTAGACTCCAGTCTTTCTTTCGAAATACTCTCCTCCCTATCATATAGTGACAACCGTTCATAGCCTCTGTCACATAAATCATATTTATTACTACACCTACTACTGAAATATGGGTCCCCACAAAATAATTATCACTTATAGCTTAGTAGTAGGTGATTAAGATCTAACTGACAGTGGATTAATGTAGTAAACGACATAACTTATCTAGTGGTAAATTGTCTTCCGAAAGTCACTCAATAAATAATTTTCTATAGTGCTATCAACTTTATCATCAGTTGAGTTCCGACCATGTCTAGTATGTATAGACAGAGTTTATACCTCCTCCTCCTCCTCCTCCTCCTCTCATCATCATCATCATCATCGATTTTCTCTTGAATCGCTGCACTTTTTGAAGTAAGATTCACTCACATACTGCCGGTGAATCTGATGCTCGCGCTGGTTGTAGGATTAGTTTTGCCCACAGATTTAGTCCTTCCTCAGTACTGACGATAACACAGTCCTGGCTTAACTATACTTAAAAACAGAGTGACTTGACTTAAACTTTATCTGTTTTTAAAACATAAAATAAAGCAAAGCATACAATTACACCAAGAAAAGCACAAAATCCATTGTCACTCAAGAAAAGACAAAAACATACCGAACAGTATTGAAGGAACAGACAAAATGAACAGTTAATTAATTACATATACACACACAGAATAGCGTGACAGGAAATAAACAACATCCAAGGTCACATCACGTGGTCAGAGTTACATTAAATTAGCCAATAATCGCGACAAAGGGTCACATATATCGACTAGCTGTCCGTCAAACTATCTATCTCCCGCGACTAACACTGGTAACAGGCTACATGATGAGGTTGTCTGGAGGTCTGGTAAAAAGCATGACCAGTGGAGGGAGATCACCAAGTCAGGAGTGAGGACAAACACCCTTTTGTGGAATTGACTGGCTGTTGCACTGTATATACCGAAAACTACTAGAAGTTAGAATTCATCGACTGACTGACTGACTGACTGGCTGGCCATTGAGGTGACTCGGCCTAATGGCTGGATGCTCTACGAGCTTGTTCTGTAGCCGTAAGGTCCTGCATTCAAACTTTGAACTAGGGGTGCACGCGTGCGTCCATGCGTGCTGATAAACAGTCCCAAACCAGTACTCCCTGATGGTTTCCGATGCTTCTCTAACTGATATCAACCCGCGGTCAATCCCTACAAACTAACCCTTGAAAATCATTTTCTACTGGTTTGCAGTTTCAACTCATGGAAACACTCCATAAATTTCTTCTCAGGGTTTTTCAGGTTATCAGAAATACTTACCGTTTTTGTGTGCATAATGTATGTTCTTCGGAACTCCGATTTTTGTCGTATAGACATCCGACTTCTTCAACCCCGCTGGATTAAGAGTTGAAGTCCCCCTTTCCATTCACTGATGTTTGGACAACCGAGAGAGAGAGAGGTTTCTATCCCTAACCCTTCCGGAGTAGATATCTGGCTCACTGCCAACTGAATGGAATTGTTCAAGCAGTTGTTGAGTAGTAATGTATGCTCTCGTCTAGTATATAAGCGCGACAGAGGGAGTTACGTCTGACCATAAAGATTCTTACAGGTTTAACATTTTTCCCCTCCTTTGCGTTTCGAGTACAACGTATGGCTACAGACTTCAAGATATGAAGTGTCAATAGCACTGGGTGCTTTTAACAGGATTTGAGGGGATGGGAGTTGCTAGCCTGCCTCATGCACAACTTCTTCTCTTCATCTGGCTTACTACCTGAAAGCGTATTGTTATAACGAAAACAAACCTGGCACATTAACGACATCATGAGATGCGTCACACTAAATCTCCTAGTCTGCCCTGCCCTGATGCTCAGATCGAAGCGGGGAGAGTAGTCTTAACGAGCTACCCTTTCCACCGGCCTTTCACGTGAGAATTCTGATCCACAAGGGAGAGGAGAAGTGTCAGGAGCTACATTCCCATACTTCTCGGCGATTCACACAGCTTCACATGTCGTCACCCATAATCCAATCACCTTCTACAGACACCACATACACTATAGGTTTCGAATGAGGATTTCCAAGTTTCCCTAGATGTAGACCTGGATGTCCACCAGTTCGCTTCTAAGCGCCAAAACTTTCGAATTCACCTTTTCAGTTTTGTGAGGAAAATCCCTTCGTCGGAAAGGCGTAGTAATAAATGCCATTTATCTGACAGAGGCTATGAACGGTTGTCACCATATGATGAGGAGGAGAGTATTTCGAAAGAAAGACTGGAGTCTAGCCATCATCCACCTAGTGGGGTTGTTGGTCGTTCACGCGGTGCCACCATCAGTCAAGCTAA